AGTAGGACAACGCCTAATGAGTAGTGTCTCCTAATTAATGGTTTCATAATCTGGCTCTGTCATGGTAAACAAGTAATTCCTGGTTAGAAACCACATGCAAAATGTAAGCATTAGGGCAATTGCTGCTATTAGCTATTACTGTCTAATTAGTCATCTACAATGTACAGCACGGTACCAAGCAAACTACTTGTAATGATCTCTGGGAAAGGAAAACAGAAATACTCTATTATTTCCAAAACTGTGACTTGAATCCAGTAATTTACTGCACAACCTCACTCCAAACGTGAGTCAGGCTGTATTTATTTCTTGTCTTGTGCATCTGAGCCAACTGCCTTGAGGCAGCGGTATAAAAATCGGTTGCTGTGACTCGCTTCTTGAAAATTTATTTTGCTCCTTCTTAAAATCTTGGCCTGCTTGACCTCAGCAGCCTTCACCAGTTTGAAAATGCAAGTTATAATCCTCTGTAGGGATTTAGCCAGGTGTCTATTACAGCATGTAATCTGTGATACAGCTTCCAATATTCATGCTGCAGAAGGGTTAAGCCTCTCTGTCTTTGTTCCTGAGTAAAAAAGTCCATGAGGTGTTAGTGTGGACAGGAAGCAGATTGAAAGAAGCAACATCTTCAATCAGGCCCTAAGCCTGTGTGGATGCCACTGAGGAGCGGTCCTGATGAGAGACCGGCGGCTTCACCTGAGCGGCAGCGCTTGGACTTAACCCTTGAACAGCAGCTGAAGCATTGCTGCCGGCTCCCCTGCTGATGTTCAAAGGTCATACTACTGTTAGACCTCTGTTTTTTAACCAAAAGCCTCGCTCTAGGGTCACTATCCCATCCATTACTGGGTTGTTCCTGAAGATGGACTTGGTGAGACACGCTCCTGCCCAGCGGGAGCAAGGCCAGCCCCAGCGCCCCGGCCCAGGCAGGGACACTTGCAGAGCACCTCAGACACCACTATAAAAGTTCAAGCTGGCTGGCACAAACAGACATCACTGTGTGTTAAAACAAACTAAATCCAGCTAATTGAGGGGAAACCCTACTGGGACCAGTCAGCCCTAGTCAGCAGCTTCTCAGGTAACTCCGCTTTTTCCAGCCGAGGCTGAGCGTGATCAAACCGTGTGATACAGCCCTGCGCCCTCGCTGTGCCTGCGAAACGGGTACCTCTTCCTAAAGCCAAGACTCTTAGACTATGTCAGTAGTTTTGGTAATATTTTGAATTCCATGAGCAGTCTAAAACAAAAAAAATAATAACTTAATCTGCCTGCCTGTGAGGAGCTATTTGATACGAATCTCCAATTACTGTACAGGAAAATAGTGGGTTTCTTTTAGATGGTCGTGGTATTGGGAAAGCCTCAGCCACCTTTTACGCTAATTGGCAGTCAAGTATTTAGAAGTATATATTAGTGTTTAATTATTTAGAAATCTCCTAATGGCCTAAATATCATTTTGAAAAGTTATAAATATTTTCCACCTTGTCCAACTGAAGAGCTGCTTCTTGGAAGGTTTAAATGAAGATCTATTTATGGCTGCCTGATGGTCACAAAATTACTTCCAGCTGCTAACACTCTGGTCCTTTAGATGTCCCTGACACGGAATGGGCTTAGTTTTCATAAATTGAGGAAAGTTTCTCTTTGTTGTATTCATTTTACTGAGATAGCGGTCTTAAAGAGGATTATCACAGAGATCAAGACATTAAAATACGTAACTAATCCCATTTAAATTAATTGTTTTCATACTAACATATACTAAGGGACGTTCATGTAGGGTAAGACCCCTTTACACTGTTTTGGTAATGTAAGTATGGCTTGACATGCAAATTACATTTAAGATGAATTAGAAGCAGTTTAAAGCCAAGTTGCTGGTAGAGAAAACGCGAATCTGACTCCAAGCCTCTGAAGCAGTAATCACATTAAATATTTCAAAATTACGTCAGTGATTGCCATGTTAGTAGGCAGAGGGGAACTTACCTAAACTCATCATTTCTCTCCCCCCCCTTGTGTTAGAATTCAGGACATAGATTTTTTTCTCCTAATTTCCTCTCTAGAATACTGAACTCCATATAGGTTGTTTTGGTGTCATCAAATTATTTACCTCTTAAAAGAGAATTACGTGCTGTAAAATTAAAAGAATAATTCAGTTTATTGGGGAGGATATGCCTGAAACTTCTCATTAAGATTCTCATTTGCAGCGATGTCTTTACCCCAGGGTTTCAGTGGTGGGTTGTGCCACTGACGTTACCACTGGTAAGAGTTTCAGGTGCGGCACTGTAATTCTGACCCATTTCTGACTATACTCTGCCATTAATTGGAATAGCCTCATCTTTCCCAAAAAGCTTTGTGCCCACAGAGGTGTAGACTACTGCTCAGTAGCAAGCTAGGGCTGATTTTTAGCATTCGCTGCACCATTCTTTTAGGTATCTTATTACCACCAGCTCTCATGATCTTACTGCACTCACACTAGCTTGTGTTTTGTAGAGCCCCATCTCCCAGCGTTCTCTGATTATATCGGCACCTCAGCTTTTGCTAAAAAGGAAAAGGTGAAAGAAGAAGGGAGCAAAAGAAATCAACTCTTGTATACAGAAAGAAACAATACGTCTCCCACAATCTGGGTTACCTGCTGCAAGTCATAAAACATGCCTCCTCCAGCATCCGGGGACTCGCGGATCAGAGCGGCTTTAGGTTTTAACAGGAAGAATCACAACAGACTCAGTGGTTGCTTGTGGAGCTGGAAACCAAAGCCATCCCTCAGCAGTGCTTAATGCACCTGTCCGGCTACCCAGGAGCATTTGTTTGCTGGGTTTCGATACCCCTGACCTCCCAGTGAAGTTGCTTTCACCAAAGCGATGCCAGAAGCATATACATTATAGGTACACAGGCAGCTCCGTGGTGACAGGTACAGAAGTGACCAGATTTTTCTAGTAAACCTCAGAAAGGTGTGATTTATGCAACTCTGAGCATTTTGTGCAAAATTGATATTTACATATAGTCAAAGGGTCTGAAACTTTACAGATTTCACAATATGTGTATTTCTCCCTAAGGAAAAGAAAAGGCATAAGTAAGTTAGCAAATTCTGGTGTTTGTGTCTGATATATTAAATGGAGCTTAAATAATAAAAAATTCGGTGTTTTCTCTGCTCTGCTTGAATTTTATTTTTGATTTTCACTGTTTTATTCAAAAGGAAGGCATAGAAATAGCAACTGTGAGCTTGAAATCAGAGCTGTAACAGGGACTTATTATAGACACGTTTTGCAGAGTATTTCCAGATACAGCTGCATGCTTTGAAGCTGGCAGTGTAACAAGCAGTGTGCTGCTTTTCAAATAACCCTTTTTGTTGTCTTGTAGGTTTTTTTCCTAATTTCAAGTCCTAGTGAATCATTGTCAGTTTTAGCATTCAGCTGTATTAATGGGAAATAGAGAAAGAAAATGGTAATTCCCTGCCCAGGTAAGAGGAAGTTGCCAGTGGGGAAGTCAAAGTGAGTGCAGAAGTCCTTTTGCTTGTGTTTTGTGGGAGTATGTCAAGGAGCAGAGCAGCAGCCAAGGTGGAAACTCATGTGTGAAACCCATTTCCCACACTGGATGGCATTGGATCGCTTCATTGCCCTGAGGCTTTGAGATGGAGAGAAGCATAACTGTGATTATAAGAAAAGAAAAGGTTGATTATCATACCAGGGCTTGTTCTGTTTTCAGAGGAGGTGAAAGGAACTCTGATTAGTGACAATAACGGCTACACTTAAGCCCCTGTCGAGCACTGCTAGGTATAGGCATGTGCATCTTTTTCCCCAGCAGTGCTGACCATCAGTGAAAAGAGGCATGGCTTCTTCCACAATCCGTATGTAAGGTAGAAGGAAGAATACAGAGCAGTGGTTGCGCTCTGGAACAAACGCAGAATGAATAAGTGGCAAAATATTAATGTATTGTTGAAAGCTGAAATTAGGTAGACGTGATCCAGTGCAGCCTACAGGGTCTGATATCTTGGCAACTGCTGCAAGATATCCCCAATCTTCAGACAGAATAGCCTTTGTGAAGAAGCAGAAGATTGTAGTGTGCAAGTTAATGCATCAAAAGGCTGGGAAGAAAATAATTCACTTTCACCTTGCTACAGAGGACAAGCAGCAGTAAAAGCTGTGCACTATTGGCAAGGTTTTTTTGTTGCTGTTTTTAACTCAACCCCCAGTTCAGAGCTCCAGCCACCTCGGCAGCATTCCAGCGGGAGCTGCTGACATCTCCCACCTAATCAAGTGCTGGATTATCTTGTCCTGATAAATTGGAGCTGGTGCCTCATGAAAAGTCTTTCCTGAAGTACTTCACTACCTTGTAATAAGATGGCAGATGTCTGAATCAAGCCCCAGAGCTGGCAGAGCACTGTTTTTCTAATAGCTTTTGGTGGCGAGTGTAAATGTTTTAAGGCAAGCCAGTGCTAAGCTGGGAGCATGGTTAAGCAAGATAAATTTCATACCCGAGTGAAAGGAGGCTTGAAGGTGTACTGGGCACTTGTTCATAGCACGTACCTACGGGCTACACTGCTGACATCAAAACACTTGCCTTAAAAATTACTTCTTTTGTGAGTGGAGCTCTTGAGGAATGTACTTGTTTTAAAAAGAAATTATTTTCAGTTGCTGCATCTTTCTAGGAAGAGTTGGAGTTACTGAACGATTAGAGACTTGCTTACTGTTCTCGGTCTTTGGTGACTCGATCACTGGTCCAAATCGTTTAGGGTAAATAAACGCTTTTGTGTTTCTGAAACAGACTAAAAAAAATGCTTATGTTGTAGAAGCAAGAGTGTTCTATGTGTGTGTGTTTGTACATTTACTTTAACAGGTAAAATGGCCAGGATAAATCTCATTAAGATAAAGGTATTCCTTGCAAACATTTGGTTTTGTTTTTTCTTTCTTGGTTTCACTCCTGGAGAAAAAAGCAGCAGTTCTCATGTGCCAGACAAGAAACGTCTTTATGTGTCACAGTGACCTATACCGTGCCTCTTGTAACTCTGCTTTGCTCTTTTCCAGGGGAATCCCTACATGTGCAATAATGAATGTGATGCGAGTACCCAAGAACTGGCTCATCCTCCAGAACTGATGTTCGACCTCGAAGGAAGACATCCCTCCACATTTTGGCAGTCCACGACTTGGAAGGATTATCCAAAGCCTCTTCATGTGAATATTACGCTCTCTTGGAACAAAACCATTGAGCTTACAGATAACATAGTTATCACTTTTGAATCTGGCCGTCCAGACCAAATGATTCTGGAGAAATCACTCGACTATGGACGAACATGGCAGCCCTACCAATACTACGCCACGGACTGCTTAGATGCTTTCCACATGGATCCAAAATCAGTGAGGGATTTATCACAGCACACAGTCCTAGAAATTATTTGCACAGAGGAATACTCTACTGGGTACATGACAAATAGTAAAATAATCCACTTTGAAATCAAAGATAGATTTGCTTTTTTTGCTGGACCTCGGCTTCATAACATGGCTTCTCTTTATGGCCAGCTTGACACAACCAAGAAGTTAAGAGATTTCTTTACTATCACGGATCTGAGGATAAGACTGCTTAGGCCAGCAACTGGAGAAATATACGTAGATGAGCAACACCTGGCACGCTACTTTTATGCAATTTCAGACATAAGGGTATACGGAAGGTAAGAGAATATATACCTTTAGAAACAGGCATGTGTGTTTGGTTATAGAGGTTGTTCAAAGCCATTTAGTTCCCCAAACATGATGACATTTTCTGCCGAGACACGTTCATTGGGTATCTGGCTCAGTTAAAGTCTGGTTTTGGTCTTACTAGAAGTTTCTGACTCAGCAGCACAGAGTCCCAGGTGTTCACTGTCACTAGCCTGGGACCTTGAGCCCTAGATCTCATGAGCAGGATAGGATTAACAGTTTCTTACATTGGCTCAGGAATTCATCCTGGCATTAAGATGCTTTCTGCTTTTATATAGTTGGAGCCTGATCTGATGGCAGTTAACTAAAAAGAGAAATTCTGTTTTATCGTTTGACTTTTTCAGGCCTTTAATGTAAGCTGTGATTGATACAGCAGCCCTTGTGCAGACCCTTCCCACTAGGTCCAGCTATGAACTGCCTGTGAACAAGGAAGGCGGCAGAAATTAGAGTCCATTCCTTGTACTTTAATCTACTCTGAAATGCAGTGAAGCTGAAGTAAAATGGAAAAAAACAACAGTGTTTTTGAGAGACTGATTTGAATATTACAAAGATGATTACTCAGCTAGGTTCAAGACAAATAGTCCCTCTAGGGCAAGCAGTGGCTGATATCAGGTGCCATAGTCTCAAAAATAATAACTGAGCAATGACATACCTATCGGGAAATTTTCTTCCAAACTCAAACTAGCAATTGACTGATGACCTTAAGCAGGAGGGTGATACTCTTTACATGTGTCTTGGATGCCAATTTGTTCAGAAGAAATAAATGGGACCTTCTCTATTAGCAATTCACTCACCTCTCTAATGTACCTTTTCCTTCTCCTCTGTTTCTTCTATAGAGAGTTCAAATATTCCTTTTTTAAAACTTTTTTTTTTTTTTTAAGAGAAACTAATATCAAAGGGAACAGAAAAGCTAAGGTGTCTTCGAAGGCCAGGGCATTTTTTGCAGACACAGAACTGAGTAAAAAAAAAATAGAAACAGTGATTATATAAAACACTGGTGACTATGTTTTTATTACTCCTGTAGTGAGTTTGCTGTTTTCTACCTCCTTTATACAAGCTTTTCATGTTCATGAGCATTTCCATATTGCAAAAATCGGTACATAAAATCAAAATAGAATTAAATTACTGTGATGTAATCTGTTGAAAAATATTCCTCTAACTTTATATAAAGGAAGAATTGATGCCACATACACATTGAATGCATAAGCGCTTTTGCAATTACATCAAAATACATTTATTAGGACAGTAGATTTAGCATGTAGTTATTATCTTCTGTGTCCACACCAAATCCCTATGCATACCTGCAGAATCATTAATTGCATGTGTGAAAGTAAAAGATAAATCTTGCTGGTTTAAGAATTCGTATTGTAACTCTCACTAGTTACATTGTAAATTATTTTTCAGAAGTCTTGGGAGGGCTAAGTGAATCATGGACAGCTTAAGATACTGCTTGAAATAGTTTGGTATAATTAGCCTCAGTATATAAAAAATAATACATATGTTCTACTTAATGTGTATCCTTTCTCCATTGGGCTCCACATAGATTAGGTCTACAGAGGCATCATATCAAAGCTCAGGATCTGAAGGTCCTTAACACTTTAAGGAAAAGCTGCTCCCCATCTGAAAAGCCATTTGGAGCTTAGTCTGACTTCAATTAGACTATCAGTACTTTATCAAAGAAAGCATCTGAAGGATTAAAAAAAGAGTGCATTGCATGCAAATTAGAAACAGAAACCTTGCGAGCACATCTGGGGCATGGCAATCTTATGAAAAATTATCCATAGAAAGGAAGTGTGACTACATGGAGAACTTATCTGACGTTGATGCTTGTTGTCTAAATGCTGCAGTAATTGGACACATGCTTTAAAAGAAATATCTGATGTGTAATAGTATCCTGCTAGATTAGATTCATGTGAATTCTTATCACTCTTCTGCTAATGGGAAGAACAGCTCTTTAAGGATTTTGGTGGCCTTCCCTTCAATATGTAGTGAGCCCTCCTCATTAAAGATTTAAGAGGCTCGCTTACTGCTAGAGTAGCTGTGTGGCTGCAATACACAGCCCCTGATTATTTAGTCACGCTAAATGTAACTTGCAATAGGCCCACTGTCACCCAGTTTTAGGGGTTTTTTTCTGCTCTCCTACCAGAACCCTTACAGGCCCCCCGAAGAGTCCCCACATCAGCGTTACGGTCGTGTGCCCAGGCGTGCCCGGAGCACGGGAATGTGATGGAGGGCAACAAGGGTTGTGCTGCTGCTTCTCATCCAGCTGAGCTTTCCAGCCCTTAGTTATTTACCGTGTTAACTGGAAATTAAGTTACCTCTTTTTTTGCTACAATGTTTCATATTCTGTGCTTTGAGACCTAGATATTTGTATACATTTGGTAAAGCTAGGCTAGGCTATTCCATGAGGACAGGATACAAAGGGGTGGTGGATGAGTGATGCCAGCAGCCACATTTTAAAGCTAGTCTTTTTGCTGAAAAAAATAACCTGTAGGTTAAATATAGTTAAAATCACCAAAGCTCATAATAGCGTATTTCTAAAGACAGCATAAAATGCAGTTTGTTTCACACTGTAGTTTAAGGATCAGCGACAGTGAAAAGCATCTGTCTTAAAGCCGCCATATATAACATACAAGATGCTGGGGTAGTTAAGGAGTTACACAAGGAGTTACAGATAGGAGATAGGAGATTTGCCCAGTTAATACAGGGTTTGTTTTGTCATTGCTTTGCATTTTAGTGTGAAATAAGCCTGATGTATGTTGCATTAGAGATAAAAACCTGTGTGCCCGATGAACACCTTACCTCCTCTATTACCACCTGTTTATTCATCTTCAATTTACCACTTCAATTGTGTATTTATTAAGGTGATGAAAAAAAAAAGAAACGTGGCTGTTAGCAATTTCAGCAACCCCATTGTGCTCACATTATTCAAGAAACCTAATAATCCACATGAACTAATTCTGACTTACTGATGGTCTGCTTCACTAAATCAGGGTGATTTTTTCTAGTGAATAATGGGCGATGTAGTGTGCCAGTACCTTAATTAAAGAGAGCCTCTCTTAGTCTTGATCTCATTTTAATTTACAGGGTAATACTACAATAATATCACTAATGGAAGGTACATTAAAGGGCATCAAGTAGCATTAACTGTATTAAATTATGGCACTTGTGTTAATTAACTGCTGAAGCAAGATGGTCCTAACGGCTAGAAAGGTCGACTGATACATAAATATAGTCTTCTGGGATGGGAAACTAAGAAGGAGCAGACATTTTTCCCCTCGTCTGGCCTCACTGCAGAGAATCGGAGGGTGTCCTGTGGATAACCTTAGGAAGGTTCCTCTCGCTTCGCTGCCTGCAGAAGTGGCCTGGCCCGCCTGGCCTGGCTGCGGGCTCTGCCCGTCTTCGATTCCACGTGAAGTGCAGTCCTGGCAGGAAGCTGTGAGGTACCGCTCCCTTTTTTAACATTTTTTTTTTGTAGGCGAAGTTCACTAAAATGCTGATAATAATTCCTTTGAAGTCAAGCAAAAAGTTCCTAGCAGATTTTGGATCAGGCTGCTAAAGGTTTATCCATGTTCGTTCCAAAGTATTTTTGCTTTAACTGTTATCTTGTCAGTGACATGTACATTTATACACTGTAAATTAACTGTAATTCAGGATGCTAGTAAAAAAACATTGCCCCAGTGGGTGACAGAATGACTAGCTGGCTAAAACAAAGGATCTTATTGCTTTGAGGTGATTAGGTTTTGATCTAAGAGCCGCTAGTTTCTTTCTGACACCAGAATATCCAGCCTCTGTACAATGTTATTAAGCCCTTTGGTATTTATTTTTGTACTCTTCTCGCCTTGAAGCTTCTATATTTAAGCCTCAGGGTTTTCTGACCCTGTCTCAGCCATGGTTGCAGTTCTAAGCAGCCACAGAAACCTCTAACTCACAGTACGCAAGTGAAGAGTATCCTCAATTTTAACAGTTTCTTGCTCTCACATTATCTCTTCTAAATTTAAATCCACCTCAGCATCTGAATAAATTACTCTGAAGGGAAGCTTATTTGCTGTTTAGGGAGTTGGGGCTTTTTTTTACTTTTTAGTCGGCCTGCCCCTCCTGCCAGCTGTGACCCTGAACCATTCAGTATTGCTGTGGTGGATTTGGGGTAGGCGAGTGCCCTTCCTCTTAAAAAGAGCTGATCTGCCCCGCTGTGTCGGGAGCTCGCACCGCAGCCTTTGCGCTGCCGATGGTCACACCAGGAAGGCTGCGTTGTACCAGGTTTCATCCTCTGCCTTATTCTACAGATCCATTCTATGAATGGATTAATTGGATTAAATCTGTATGTTACTCTGGCATACACTTGACAACGCTGTAATAACATCCCTCTGTAATTTACCCAAAAGAAGAACTTTGCCCTAGGGAAGTGGTAATACATAGAAGCGCTTTGGTTTTATTTATAATAGAGAATGTTTTCATTAATGTTCAGCTCAGAACCAGACCATTAATATGAAGTTATGCAGGCTTCAAGCTTTTAAGGAGACAACTGAATACCATTCTTGTTTCTAGTATTTATTTATCGTACTTGAATACTCTTTGTTTTATGAGAACACTTGCATAAGCCGCTTGTTCTCCTTTGAGATTTTTCACTAGTATTTGGAGGGAATCTAGCAGTTTCTCCAATTAAATTATGAACTCATTAGAGAACAGGAAAGAAAAAGAAACTTATATATTTAAGAGCATGTCAATTTATCTTTAACTCCCAAGTGCAGTTAGCTTTTTTAAATATATCTAATGTAACATATCACTAAGGAAAATGGTCCTTCATTTTCTGTAAACAAATCTAGGATCATCAGGAATTGAAATAATTAAATGGTCACTGTGTTTATTCACGCATGAGCAGCCTCCAACGGTTTACTCAGTACAGGTGTCTTGGTTGGGTTTTACTCCTGCCCATGTTCAAATAATACCAGTTTCCACCCTCCATCTTGGCAACACAAGTCCTGTCCATCAGC